GCGCTGAACTATATATATTTAAGCACTTTCCAGCCGCTTAAAATGTGCGCTTTTCAGCACTTTTCAGCCAAAAATTTAAGCTAATTTAAGCGCGCTTTTTGACTTAAATTTTCACATGGGTCTCTTCTTGACTAGGAGTGTCATAGTCCCACTACTGTTACTACCCGTACGTGGTAGGTGGCCACTACTTCCCATTTACCAGTTTCTGTTACAACCTAAGATTAACTAGCTGACGAGTAGATGATGCTTCCAGCTAAATGATAAATGATTTACACTTAACTGAAGGCTGGCTATATAGGTTCCATTGTGGATTGTTCTCACTGGGACCTTTCGCGATTTTGTTTTCGGCCATGGGTGGTCTATTCGAAATAACTAAATTTTATAAAACTTGACCAAAGGTTTTTCGGGGCTAGGAATCAGAATCCATAGTCAGTTTTTCACTAAACACGAGTTTTTTCGAAAAAAAACGATTTTTCATCAAAGAACGGGGGCTGATATGGTTGTTCGATGCCCCCTCCTCCATTAAGAATTGATTTACTTCCATCAAGTTCAAATAAGGGGTCATTCTGAATCATTTTGTTGTACCGGAGAACAAATCTCGGTATTTAAAAACGGGTCAATTTTGAACTCGGAATCGCCGTTTTGTATCCAAATGTCAACTTCTTCCGTCGTAAAAAGTTCAGATTCGTAAAACATGCTGAATGCTGCGCTAGAAAAACATATTTTCTACTAAACTGCAATGAATAGTTATTTTCGCGACGATCTCAATGATGAAAAATGGAACTCACAGAGTGGTTTCGATTATTTCAGGAATTAAGGAGCTTTGAGAGCTCTCATTGTGATATTCTTAATTGGCATCCCTGAATCTACAATCACATCTGGATCTAGGTCACGAAAAAAAGAGTTTTCTTCATGATGTTTGGGGGGCGGGGGCAGGGACAATATTTGCCAAAGTCGGCTTTCCGAGAATAAGACTGAATAAAGTTATCAGAAACGACCCTTTATTCGAACCTGATAGAAATAAATCAATTCTAAATGGAGGAGGGATCGCCGAACAACAATATCAGCTCCCGTTCTTTGACGAAAAATCGTTATTTTTTCGAAAAAACTCTTGTTTAGTGAAAAACTGACTATGGATTCTGACTCATCGTCGCAAAAAACCTTTGGTTCAGTTTTATAAAATTTAGCTATTTGGGATAGACCACCCATGACCGAAAAAAAAGTCGCGAAAGGTCTCAGTGGGAGTAATCCACAATGGGACCTATATAGCAGAGATGGAACCGGTACTGGTAACCGGCCGATCCGGTCCGGTACCGGCCTATATTTTTCACTTTCCCGTTCTATGATGGTAATCATATGAAAAAACAATTGGCACCAAGACTAGTTCCACGGATCACACAGGAATTCATTTAAAAAACATTTTTCAAAATACCGATCAGTGAGACTATTGTTATCAATGGGGAAACATTAAGCCAATATGCGTGAAAGTACGAAAGTAGTCCTCAAGAGAGTTCACTATGAAACAAGGCTTCATTTCAAGCCTTAGTCTGTTGTCTGTAGATCGATATTTTGTCGGTAGGTCGGTTTTTGTTTTATAAACTGACATATCATCAGCATCCTGTTTCGTACCGGTAAGCTAGTTTTGCCCGGTAGACCGGTTCCATCTCTGCTATATAGCCAGCCTTCAGCTAAATGTAAATCATTTACCACTTAGCTACAAGTATCATCTACTCGTCAGCTAGTTAATCTTAAGGTGTAACAGCAACTGGTAAGTGGGAAGTAGTAGCCACCTACCACTAACTAGTAGGTGACAGTTGATGAAGATTACCTTGCAAGGATTTATAGTTGATGTACAAGCTAACCGTTTATTGTTGCTAAATAGATATTTTTCCGATCATAAAAGCACCTACACTGTAAAAAATAGGTGTCGATTAGTAAACCCTTTCATATACCCTTTCGGTTCATCAACCCTCGGAAGGATTTGCTATACGTTGCACTTTCATAAACCCTTCAGGGTACATGAGCGGTAATATACCTTTAAAAAGTTGATCAAATTCATCAATTCTTCAGAAAAGCCTTTTTCACTCTACGGATTTTTCTAAAGGGTAGATCAATAAACGCTTTTCTGAAGGGTTGATGAATTTGATCAACTTTTTAAAGGTATATTACCGCTCATGTACCCTGAAGGGTTTATGAAAGTGCAACGTATAGCAAACTCTTCCGAGGGTTGATGAACTGAAAGGGTATATGAAAGGGTTTATGATATTCATAGATCCTAAAAAGGGTATATGACAGGGTTTATAAAGTTCATAAACGTTTTTCAAGGGTTTGCTAATCTACGCCTATTTTTTACAGTGTATTGTTACCATGGTAAGCAGGAGAGTTAGTAACAGTAAGTGTGACACTTCTATTCATCCCAGGACGAAGCTGAGTCATCGGATTCTATCGGATCGTTTTAAAACCGACAGAATTCTATCGGAAGTGACCGGAAATCCAGTGACCCGGATTCCGACATCAAATCCGACTGGATACGATCAAGTTTTGACTGTATTCTATCGGTTTTCGTCGGATTCCGACAGCATCCGGTAAAATCCGGATCGGATTCAGGGTCACTGGATCTTTTGACCTGGGATTATATAACGAGTATTCCAGGATAATTTGCACTAAACAGTGCATTTTTCTCTCGTTTCTTAATCATAAAAAAGAATTCTCTCTTATGCCGAAAGATAGAGAATTGTAAGCTCAACAAAACTGTCAATTTTGTCTTTCAAACAGGTTTTCTCTGTCAATGCAAAATTTAGCAGATAAACACTTATACAATCGTCCAAATGCGACGATAAAACAACAAAAATGATGGATTTTTTTAATAAAGATTCCAAGGAAACTTCAACCACACCACAATGTTTTCCGTTAAATGCTGTACCTTCCGATGTATATTTCAGAACTTGAGAACATGTATTTGGGAGAAACGGCTTTGAAGTAAAAAACATATGAAAACATGGAAAACAATCATTTTTGATACACTGATGCCATTGTTATTTTTTAACTCGAAACAAGACACACGTTATCACTGTTCAGTTAAACAGTTACACTCTTTTGTTCAGAATTAAATTCTAAATCCAATGGCATAATAGTAAGTCTTATACAGACTAAGTTTAGCCTCTGAAAGCAATGGTTTTCGATAGTGTACACAATAATATTCACATGTGTCAGCTCGAAGCCTTTCTCTCCTGAACAACAATACCAGAAATTTTGGAAAGATCGTGGAAGCGTACAGTACAAAATTCTCTATCTATTGATGTTAAATAGTATAGTTTTAGCATCGAGTTTGATAAACAAAGACGTACATAAATTAATAAGTACCGTCATAAAATAGAAAGTCGCAGTTGAATCAGAGCTGGGCCAAATACTCGAAGTACTCGTACTCGAAAAAATCCGTACTTGCCCAGCTCTGAGTTAAATGATTGAGTAGATGTGAATCTTTTTAATTTTGCATTGATAAAGAAAACCCTGTTTGAGAAACATAATTGACAGTTTTCTAGAGCTTGAAATTCTCTATCTTTCTGCATAAGAGAGAAATTTTTATTATGAAGAAACGCGAGAAAAATGCACTGAGATTTAGTACGATTTATCTTGTAACACCCGTTAACATGCATCGTTTCCAATTTGTTCTTTGACTAGTCTACCATACAGTTGTACAAAGATACAACCCATCACTTTATCTTGGCCAATTCTACAATGGATGCTAGCCAAAATGACGAACAAGTATTGACAAGCTCGTTGGGTAACACAAAAGTTTACTTCCATTCGCAAGACGCGGAAGGCAACTCGGAATTCATTCGAAGTGTTACTCCATCTGATAATTATGTTCACGAATCACGTAATCAAGTCCGAACATCATTTGACAATGGCAGTGACAATGCAGAACTGCAAGTGTATATTCTTGCAGTGGGTACTGTAAAGAGGGACTTGGCGGGTATGTCCAAATCTACTCAAAGCCAAGCCTCACACAAATATCTACTTGATGAGATCATCAAACGCATTGATGGCATCGATTGTATCTCGATTCTGGTTGATCATCATATCGAACATGAGGTTCTGCTACATGACGGCTTTTCTCAAACTCAACAATGGGGTCCTATACATACTTTTTACGTGAAAGTAATAGGTTCGCAATGCATTGCATACGGTGCGGCTGCTCTGCTTGGTACGATGCTTAAACAAGATGCTATTGGAATTTATCATCCTCTCACCAATGACGATCGCCATATCCTGAATTCGAAGCAAGGTCAGCCATTGCCGAAAGATTTTCATCAGTATTTCACCGTGCACTCGGATAGTCCTATTTCACGTGACATAACTTTAAAGATAATCGACAATATTTGCGAGCGTTTCCCGGAATTGTCCGGGCAGCTCGATACATCAGGACAATCAGTCGAATTTCACGATTTTGACTCTGCATGCACGGGCGTAAGCGAGCAAATTCAAGAGGCTTTAAAGGAAAATTTTAAACAAGTGTTTCGAGTTAAAAAACAATATGCAAAGAGTACTCTATTGGNTGGAAAAATATGATTACCAGCAAGTACTCAACGCATCGGATCTCGAAATCAGTCGGATAATAGATTGAAAGAAATTAGCTCACAAGTATTCAACTTGTTTTAGTCAAAAAGTTCTTTTTGGTAATAATGAATCTTTTATACACCATCTGTTTGAATCATATGATAGTCATCTTATCATCTGTTCATTCTATCTTATTACCACTGTCGGGCATATGTAAATAACTGCATGCATAGTCAGTTCCAAAAGAAATAATTCTGAAGAAGACGTCCTTGACATTGAAACCTCAAAAAGAAAGGCCTATCACAACAAGGAAGAGTACAAAACTCAAGAATTGATAAATATGATCCTCCTCACGCGCAATCAAACATTTCTGAGAGCCGTTTTTGACGATAGGTCACAACATAGGACTCTATGTGGCTTTCATTCACAAAGGTAAATAGTTCATATGCTGAGACAAATTGGCAACGAATCTACGCGGAATATTCTAGCGAAAAGGGTGTGGGAGTGGGTGGCTCAAGGGCATGGATGCGGGTGTGGTGGGTGTGGGTGTAGGTG